ATTTTAGTAGTCCTACCAAGATTTCCGTCCGCACTAGATTTCCGGAAAACCCCGATAGAATGTCGTTGGTTCGAATCCGCGCGATCCTGGTCGGAATTCGGGATACCTGTGTATGTTTTTGCTTTATAATGCACGTCTAAACATAATCAGCGTGCCATAAAAACACCTTATACTACTTATACTAATATCTTATCCCCAACAGCCACACCGTGTTCTCTACTAATACTAATATCTTATCCCCAATAGCCACACCGTGTTCTCATTCCTGAGGATGAAATCAAGAGAGGAAAGCCACGTCGTTCGATAGTGTTGTTCTTTGATCCTGACAGAGAAACACTGATAACATGCTTGGATGGCTCCAACAAATACCCGCCTGTTATATCGGACGTCTATGTGATGGAATTACTGAAAAAAACTTACGAATTCTAATTCCTGACAGTTAGAGGATACACAACTCATAACCGTGCGCAATTTGTTGATATCGATGATGTGTGAAAACTGTAGTAGGCTGGAAGACCCTTATTTATCAGATTAACAATGCAATTCAGAACCAAAACGAGACATACTTTTTGTAAAAATATTGTTTCGAGATAATTTTTTAGATACTTGCTTGATGGAGAACAGGATATTATAAGTTAGTATTAGTCCCAATGCAGATGCTACTTTTGTTTGGCTTTCAATAGTGAGAAAAGGAAATTGTAGCCTGTCTGTAAGAGCGACCTTTTTCCTTTTAATGAATGCACATGAAAAATGTCCAAATGTTTTCCGAAATGTGCTATTTAGAATGATTTTATGATGCAATTCCTTGTGAAACTGAAACAGGAAGTTTACGACGGGTAATTCATTACTATGCATAGACAATACCATGCTGACCTATTATACTGGAAACTTTATGATTTGCGCGTCTCTATTTATAGTGTTGTTTGCTGCAGCGTTGGGCACTGTTCTCTTCTCCGGCATCGGATAAGTAAGAGGAGTTTCATAAAGCAAGGAGACTTGTACTGAGATAGTCAAGGAAGGATCAGGAAGATAGAGACTGCAATGGCGGAACAGGGAAACACAGACGGAAAAGTAAAGCTTCAAGGTTTCTTCTCATCACATGAGTCCTCTCAAAGTCAGTTTAAGAAGTTAATTTCAGCCTGTAGGGACTTAGACCCAACAGTTACAGTTCTTGCTCTGCAAGGTCTATACGACATTGAAAACAATGTGAATTCGCTTCACTTTCAGCACGATGAAAGTGATTGCCTGTATGTTAGACAGCTTCTTCGAGAATGGCGAAATAATTGGCCGTTTGATTATGGATCCTCAGCTGCATACATCCAACAGAGATCTATTCCTACTCTTAGAAGCCTGACCATCTTCAGAGAATTTGATGTCCCGCTTTTCATTGACGACTATGGGAAGAAGGAACCCTTGGGTCTAAAAACTCAGTCCATTGAAATTGATGAAAACACACCAATATATCACGTCACTCACCTACCCGAAGCCATCAACATTTGTGAAAAAAAGCGTCTTGAACCAAGCGACAACAAGAACATGATCGCTGGAACTTGGTTTGGTATAGACGATGGACCAAGTTTCTATGGCAGCAGAGCCTTCAAGACGACGCTGGGTAAGCTTGGCGTTCAAGTGCTTCGTCAAGGAGAAATTGTATCTTACCCCAAGAGAGAGGTGAATGTGATTTTATACGCAGGAAAAACCGAATTGGATGGCACATTCAATGCAGAAGGTTTAAAGAAACCCAAAGTCAACCATCCTAATTATGTCAAGATATCGATTTTCGTACCATCAAAATTCTTACCCAAGACAGACCATGATTTCTCAAAAGTCTTTGTCGGGCCTATGAAAGTTGATCACGGTCATCCCGCAACTTTTTGTGTAAAAGAAAAGCGGAGTTTTGGCAAGTTCAAATGCCCAGCTGACAATCTCTCGGATTCATTTGACAATCTGAGCATTTCTAATCAGTCTTCATAACGATTTTAGATTCATGTGTAAATGTATTTCTATAGGGTTT